AGAGAGAGAGAGAGAGAGAGAGAGAGAGAGAGAGAGAGAGAGAGAGAGAGAGAGAGAGAGAGATTCTGCTGATCTGCTCATCTGTCCCTGTCTCCATCAACTAATCAATCAACCAACCAATCTGTTAGTCAGTCAATTAATGTATCTTCTCCTCCTCCCTTTGAATAACAAGAATTTATCAATTGGTAAATCATATGTTACAACCATCTCACTCTCTCTATTTGTCCTCGACCACTTCCTACCTTTTGCAACTGCTCTGCAGTTACCTGGCCTGTAAAGATAAAAAGGTCATGAGAGAGACATGAGGGAATCGGGGAGGACTAAGAGGGAGGGGCTGTGGGGACTGAATTATCCCCTTGGGAACAACGTTCTTTGCAATTTCGTTTACCTGGGACATGCTGAACATTTCAATAAAGGACATGAGAGACGCCCTGTTCTTCGTATTGAAAAAAAAAAAAAGGAGTGAATGGGGGAGGACAAAGGAGGGGCTGTGGGGACTGAAATACCCCCTTGGTAACAATGTTCTTTGCAGTTTCCTTTACCTGGGACACACTGAACATTTCAATGGATGCCGCCAATTTCGCAAGACTCTGCCTTCCACTGCCACCAACACCGACTAGTAGAACGTTTCCACCAGGTTGCTTGATAACGCGACATATCCGGCAGACATGGTGGATGGCAAACAAGAAGAGAACGAGATTCATTGGCTTGTTGGTGTTCGCGTTGTAGTCTTCCAAGTAGCTTTCCATCACCTTGAAAACCGCATTCTCGTCCGTAATTTCATCGTACTGTCCACCCAATTATGTCCAGCAAAGCAACACAAATTTCAAATGTCAGAAGGTCAGAGGGAGGGTGTTATTGAAAACATTATTATTTTTTGCTTATTCATATTATTCATCCATTTACTCGTTCATTCATATTGTTAGATCGTGCTGTCAAAGGTAAGACATATGATGATTCTTTGTCAGGTGCAAGGTTTTCTTCTTTAAAAAAAAAAAATTACAAACAACACAAAGCCCCATCTATTCTGGGGGGCGTCAGTCCGGTTGCTTATTACCGGCAAGCATGAGAGTACAGAGTCTACAGACGATAGAAAGAGAACAAGAGACAGCCTTGCCCTTGCGGGACTAGACGCCTGTGCAAGGGGGGGCTGCTATGAGTCGTCCCACCCCCCAAACCCTGTCCTTCCTTCAGGGTTGCTTCTGCTGACCGGGAAGCTTACTGGCAGCACCCAGTCATGCAGCAGAAGGATCCCAAGGGAGGCAGGGTGGGGGGGCGCCGATCGCAGCAGTCTCTCAGGCCGTGTGTGTCATCCCATCCCTCAGTCTCCACGAAGTCTTGCTATTTAGGTCATCCCCTTGTCATCATTGTTTCCTTACAGGTCCCTCCTTCTGTAGTATCTATAGTGTCTAGGCCTACCATACAATGTCCCTGTCCTTTCCTGTTCATCCAGGTGCAAGGTTTCACATGCTTTCTCTTTTCTTTTTTAATAACACACACACTCACATGCCCCATCTACTCTAGGGGGTGGCAGTCTGGTTGCTCATCACCAGCAATCTTATAGGACAAATCTTTATCCGTTATGTTCAATGAACACAGGTCATCCTGTCTTTGCCTCATTAGGGGGCAGTATTGGAGGGAAACAAACAGCCGGGAAACTCCCAGTGGTACCCAGGTGCTGCTGGCCTACTATCCTCCTGAGTAAGACCCCTCTGACCTGCCCCTTCCTACCCACTCCCTTCCTTCCCTCCCCTCCACCTTGCGCTTCCATCCATCCCCTTACCAGTTCCATTGGGATTTCCTTACATTGGTCGATAAATCTTCCCTCCTCTTGACTAGATCATACTCCTGTGAACAAAAAACGACTGAGAGTAACAGCTGAACTTCCCATCACTTGGTCATTTTAATGGCAAAACGGATGGTTCATGGGCACCACTGCTAATCATCAGCTGCAAAACATTCTTTCAAAACAGCCGGCATCTTGAGGGGCTGTTGTACACCACCCAAGGGAAAAGATCGAACCAACAGGGGAAGCTGAACCATATAAATCAAACCACATCAGGGCTGTGCTGGCAACCGGCCGGTTGGACCGAGCCAGATCCAACCGGAATTCCGGTTGGGCCCAAAAGTGGATCATTTTTTTTTTCCTTTTTCTTTTTGGAAATATGGTCAGACTGTTCTCACCGAGATCTCTCCGAATCCGCAAAGGAAACTGTGAGCAGAGAAGTTTCATTCCATGTTTTTTTTTTTGGGGGGTGGGGTGGGGGTTGGGGGGGTTATTTCAGGGGTTAGGAGTTCGGGGCTGGGGGGGTTATGGTAGGGGGGGTAGTGGCAGGGCTTAAGCAAGCACGGGCTTCAGCAAGCAAAAATGGGGCTATGGCCAACTATGAGAGATGTCCAACAGCATCAACAGGTGAGTCTCATCAGTGTGCCGCCTTCAGGAGCGGTTGGGTGGCGATTATGGGCACCGAGTTTAAAGAGGGTGTGGGTGGGCAGGGCATCCCTCCTGGCCGGCAGCACCCTCCTGAGCAGGAGGTGTCCTCCTCATCATGGTGGGACATGGCATCTGTGGCAAACATGGTCGGCGTATACAAGCTACAAATCCACGAAGCAGTTGTGATGATGCTGCAAGCACAAGACAGCCTGTCACTGGAGATTGTACAAGAGGCAAAAGAAACCTTTGAGGGGACGCGTTGCGAGCAATAGTTGCCAGCGCACAGACGGGGTGAGCACCACGGCAACATCGGCGACACAACGACAAGGAGCAACATCAGGGTTTCGACATCTGCATCTAACAGCGTCAACAGGTGAGTCTCATCAGTGTGCCGCCTACAGGAGCGGTTGGGCGGCGATTATGGGCACCAAGTTTAAAGAGGGTGAGGGTGGGCAGGGCATCCCTCCTGGCTGGCAGCACCCTCCTGAGCAGGAGGTGTCCTCCTCATCATGGTGGGACATTGCATCGGTGGCAGACATGGTCGGCGTATATAAGCAACAAATCCACGAAGCAGTTGTGATGATGCTGCAAGCACAAGACAACCTGTCAATGGAGATACTACAAGAGGCAGAGGAAACCTTTGAGGGATGGGGGGACACGTTGCAAGCAATAGTTTCCTCGCTACCGGGCACTCTTGATGAGGAACACGTGAGAAATGATGTACAAGAGTGCCTCATGTTATTGGAGCAGCTGCGAAAATTTTTCGCACAACAACAGGCGGCCATCACTATCAACCACTCTCCGGTGGAAGAAGGCTGCCCTAACACAACACAAGCGACGCTCTGCTGCCGCCTGATCAATGACACAACATTGATGCATGACCTCCGGGAGGTTGAGGCCCCTGAGGGTGTGCAGGATGAGACCCTGCGTGGCGGATGGAGGCAGGATCGGGCTGACACGCAGGACCTGCAGATGACTGACATGGCTGCCGCTGGGGTTTCAGATCTGTACGGTGAGGTGGATATGGGTCCCTGCGGTGGTCAGCGACAGGATTGGGATATGCATCGCTTAGATGCTGTATTCTCCCAGAAGGTCGTGACGATTGGGTACAGATCGCGAGGTGAGTTGATTGCATGTGCTTTTTCCTACATAGGCCATGCTTGTTATGCTCCTCTGCCTCATGTTCGCGCTGCCCTCATCTGCCATCTTTGCTATATTGATACCTGGGTGCCTGGGAAAGGGAAAGATTGGGTATAGGTTAGTCAGGAAGAGGAGGGGGGGGGGGAGGGCTAACATCCCTGGGAATGGATAGCTGTTAAATTTGGGGATGTGTCGGGAGATTGGGCAGTGGTTTGTAGGGAGGGGCGGGGTGAGGACGTAGACAGTGGGTGAGGTTGATTGTGGTTTCTGCCAACTCTGCATGCTTTGCTTATCTTTTAGGGCGCCCAGGGAATAGGTCGCACTGCTGCTAAATGTACTCAACACATCAAACATAAACCATACATACTGACGAGTCAGGATGGGTATGTCGCTTTCGCTGATCAGGCAACACACGTTGCTGCAACAACTACCATCTCGGCAGATATGCGAAGCGAAGGGGAAAAGGCTGCTGATGTCCCCTTCGCTGTCCCCTTTTCTTCGTGTGACAGGCAATTTTAGGGTGACAGTGACATGATTGCATATCACATGAACTGACATACAAATGCCCATTGACATGTTTGCAAGTCACATGAACTAACATACAAACTTCTTGGGCAGGGGAGCATCTTGGGGTAAGGCTACAACTGGCTTCTTCAATTTCACCGGCATCCTTTGGCTGGGAGGGGGTTTAAGGATTGTCTAGGTAATTCTGTAAGGGTTTTGCCAGTTGCAATTGGAGTCACAGGGATGATGTAACTCGCCTATAAATAGGCGGACAGTCAATCCCCTCTGATGAGGGCAATCAATGCTGTTCCGCATGATATGACTGTTTGATATGACCGGCTCCAGAACTGTAAGTGGGACGCTGGACCCGATTTCCAGCAGGTGCCGCTCCCCACCAATAGATTGGAGCCATCTATCACTAGGGGCCTACTATTGGGGGATGCTCATATCACTTCCAATAGTTGGGTCCTGCGGATGTTTTTTCAAAAAAAAAGAAAACAAAAAAAGAGAGAGGGGTTACGCTTTGAGAACGACTAGGAGGAGGAGGAGGAGAAGAAGAAGAAGAAATTAAAAAATACTAAAAAAGAGAAGTGCGGCTTTGGCAGGCTACGTGAGAGAAGGGAAGGGCGGGAGGAGGAGGGGGAGAAGAAGAAGAAGAAGTTATTGAAAAACAAAAAAGAAAGTGGTTTGGATGACGAGATGCAGTGGGAGGGGTGGGAGGGCGAGGAGAAGAAGAAGAAGAAGAAGACGAAGAAGAAGAAGAAGAAGAAGAAGAAGAAGAAGGTGAAGAAGGTGGAGGGGGGAGGGCAGCACTACGCCGCAGCAGGGGAACTGTTCTCTCTCTCTCTCTCTCTCTCTCTCTCTCTCTCTCTCTCTCTCTCTCTCTCTCTCTCTCTCTCTCTCTCTCTCTCTCTCCATGTCAACTACCACGGGCACGGACTACCAAGTGCGCCAACTGCCGCGCCCATGAAGTGGCGCCTCAAGAAGAAGAAGAACAAGAAGAACTAAGTTCAACTAACTAATGACTTACTGGTGGCACGCGCGCTGGGGGCGATGTCTCACAAAGAGAAAGAACTGGCGAGCTGGCTGGAGGTGATGGCGGGACGAGGGGATGGAGGTGCGACGATGATGACAGGCTGCACGTGTGACAACGGGTTGGAGGCGACGAGGAGGGCGCGCTGGCAGTTTGTGGGTGGAATGGGCAAAGGCAGGGGGGGGAACGGGTGGGCCGATGGGTGAGTCTTGGGCCGGTACTTCCCGCTCAAAATGTTTCAAAAGGGTGGCCTATCTGGGCCGGCGATCTCTTGAGATCAGCGGTTCAGATCGGCCGCCCTGTTGAAGCGTTTTGGGTGGGCCTACTGGACCCGGTTTTAATTTTGTTTTGGCCACAAGACGTCCACCGCCTGCGTGGAGGCCCCTGGCTTGGAAAAAAAAAACAGTAACCCCCTCCAGCGGTGATGCGCTGAGGCCGACCAGGGTGTGAAAAGGGGTGTGCAAAATGGGGTGTGAAATTCAGAGAATTTGACATGGAGCTGCAAGCTCAGCACACATGCACATGGGAAGGGGTGTGAGAAAAGTGTGTCATGATCGGACACACCACACAGGCCCTAGAGGCCCGTGTTGGGCCTATGAGGGTCCTAGGCCGCATCACCCACATTTGGGCGTCCCTAGGGCCACGGACACATTTTTGGGCCTGCTTTACACCCCAAG